AAAAAAGTTTTGTAATCAACTAGAGAGCAGGAGAGAGGGAGGGAGGGTAGAGAGGGAGGGTAGAGAGGGAGGGTAGAGAGAGAGGGAGGAACGGGGTGGTTGTGTACGTGTACAATGAGGCGGGCAAGATGAAACAATCCTGACAGCACAAAGGGTCAGTTCATTACCTGAGCTGTTCCACGTTAAAGGCATCTGGCCGGCGTGGGATGGCTGTACCGAAGGTTCTAGAACATGGCCTTTACATTCCTGAAATAGCTACTTGCTGTAGCAGCCACGGTTCTAAGACTTAGCGCGTACTAAAACATTCACTAGTGTCTGTGTATGTGTGGGGGTGGGGGGGGGGGGGACATTCACCTAGAGTTTCTGACTCTCGCTATGTGGCTGTGGGTACACGTGGACTGAGTCACGTGACGTGTGATGCGAGAGATTGAAACGTGACGGGTTGAACGTGAGAAGCGCATTGTGAACAGTGGCAGGAAATACATCGTCATCATCAGCCTCGCTGGGTTCAGCCCCACACACCCCCACACAGCCACACCCAGCCACACACCCTCACAAACTGACATTCATCCACACAGCCTCCACACACAGCCCCACACACATCTTTGTCCACTCCACACCCCACACAAATTGACTTCCATCTAATTAAAAAAAATATAAATTTACGAACCAAACTGATCGATTCTACAGCTATTTTTTTCTCTCCCCGTAATAAAAATAACCCGTACATAAAAAGCAAGGGAGATAATGAATCGAGATTACTCAATGCAACATGTGTTGAAACAACGGATTACCTCCCCGCACAACCCAATTTCTGTGTACACAACGATCAGGATCTAACTTAGTACGGAAAAGTTTCCTTTGTCACATGCCCCCTCCCTCCCCGCTCCCCGCCCCTCTCAAACAACTGGACTTTTTGTACACGTCATATCGTGTACAACCCATATAACAAGTCATCGTGTGCGTGTGAGAACGCTTGCACGGCCAGAGAAAATGGCATCGTGAGTACTCACACTTTCACAGCTTTAAAAACATTAGTTTAATTAGAAAATATCTCCGTGTCGTTTAATTATTTAGTTACAACATTATAAGAGATCAATGGATTAGAAAACACAATTCCAGCCTCCCCCCCACCCCTCCCTTGACAACATTGTAATCAGTTCAAGTTGTAATGGGGATGGGGGGAGAGGGGGAGGGCGGTGTAGCATATGGAAGTACGTCAATAGTAAATAAGTTAGATGTTTCCACTGAAATATTTTGTTAATTAGATGTGTCCATTCAAATATTTGGCTAATTAGATGTGTCCACTCAAATATTTGGCTAATTAAATGTGTCCACTCAAATATTTGGATAATTAGATGTGTCCACTCAAATATTTGGCTAATTAGATATGTCCACTCAAATATTTAGCTAATTAGATGTGTCGACTAAAATATTTGGCTAATTAGATGTGTCCACTCAAATATTTAGCTAATTAGATGTGTCGACTAAAATATTTGGCTAATTAAATGTGTCCACTCAAATATTTGGCTAATTAAATGTGTCCACTCAAATATTTGGCTAATTAGATGTGTCCACTCAAATATTTGGCTAATTAGATGCGTCCGCCAAACGAGAATGCCGCGAACAAAAAAAAATCAATTTTGTTACTTCAAGTCGCTAGGAGATGGGTGATGGTTTCCATAAGCGATGGTGACTGGATAGGAGAACCAGTGTTTCTTCCAGACTTTTTTCTCCGGGGGGGCACTTGAAATCTTCGGGGGGGCGGTAAACTTTCTTCGGGGGGGCGGACACTGTTAAAAGTATATATTTTCTATATAAATTATATAAATTTCATTTCGTTCGGGGGGGCGGTAAAAATTTTTCGGGGGGGCTGCCCCCCCGAAGAGATGCCTGGAAGAAACTCTGAGGAGAACTGAGGAGAAGGCGTCGGTGTAGTTCAGGAGAGGGCGTCGGTGTAGTTCAGGAGAAGGCGTCGGTGTAGTTCAGGAGAGGGCGTCGGTGTAGTTCAGGAGAAGGCGTCGGTGTAGTTCAGGAGAGGGCGTCGGTGTAGTTCAGGAGAGGGCGTCGGTGTAGTTCAGGAGAAGGCGTCGGTGTAGTTCAGGAGAGGGCGTCGGTGTAGTTCAGGAGAGGGCGTCGGTGTAGTTCAGGAGAAGGCGTCGGTGTAGTTCAGGAGAGGGCGTCGGTGTAGTTCAGGAGTGGGCGTCGGTGTAGTTCAGGAGAAGGCGTCGGTGTAGTTCAGGAGAGGGCGTCGGTGTAGTTCAGGAGAGGGCGTCGGTGTAGTTCAGGAGAAGGCGTCGGTGTAGTTCAGGAGAGGGCGTCGGTGTAGTTCAGGAGAGGGCGTCGGTGTAGTTCAGGAGAAGGCGTCGGTGTAGTTCAGGAGAGGGCGTCGGTGTAGTTCAGGAGAGGGCGTCGGTGTAGTTCAGGAGAAGGCGTCGGTGTAGTTCAGGAGAGGGCGTCGGTGTAGTTCAGGAGAGGGCGTCGGTGTAGTTCAGGAGAAGGCGTCGGTGTAGTTCAGGAGAGGGCGTCGGTGTAGTTCAGGAGAGGGCGTCGGTGTAGTTCAGGAGAGGGCGTCGGTGTAGTTCAGGAGAGGGCGTCGGTGTAGTTCAGGAGAAGGCGTCGGTGTAGTTCAGGAGAGGGCGTCGGTGTAGTTCAGGAGAGGGCGTCGGTGTAGTTCAGGAGAAGGCGTCGGTGTAGTTCAGGAGAGGGCGTCGGTGTAGTTCAGGAGAAGGCGTCGGTGTAGTTCAGGAGAGGGCGTCGGTGTAGTTCAGGAGAGGGCGTCGGTGTAGTTCAGGAGAGGGCGTCGGTGTAGTTCAGGAGAGGGCGTCGGTGTAGTTCAGGAGAAGGCGTCGGTGTAGTTCAGGAGAGGGCGTCGGTGTAGTTCAGGAGAGGGCGTCGGTGTAGTTCAGGAGAGGGCGTCGGTGTAGTTCAGGAGAGGGCGTCGGGCTTTTTCGGATCGTGGGGGTGGGGGCCGGCGATTTTTTGAGAGAATTAAGAACAGGGGGCCCTGAGCTCTTAAATTGAAAAAAATCGGTTGTGTTCAAGTAGGTTAATCTATATGTGTGTGAGTGTCTATCTACACCTATGTATGTCAGTCTATATGTGTATGTATCTCTCTACACCTCTGTATGTCAGTCTATATGTGTATTTGTGTGTCTATCTACACCTATGTATGTCAGTCTATATGTGTATGTGAGTATCTCTCTACACCTATGTATGTCAGTCTATATGTGTATTTGTGTGTCTATCTACACCTCTGTATGTCAGTCTATATATGTGTGTATGTTACACACTTCAGCCCGCCAACATTATGTTCTAGTGACGTCATATGTCTTAATCAGTCCAGTCCAGACGAACCAATTAAATGTTCGTCCTCGTCTTTTGATTTATCAATAATCCTTTCACCCCACGCCCCCACACGTAAGCCACGCCCCCACGAGCTGGCCAGACCGGAAGTGGTGTCAAAGGTCGTCAGATTGTCAGTGAATCATTGATGAGGAAATTTAGTCAGAATTATGGATCCACGTCTTAGTTTTGTAGTCCTCGTGTTTATGGTTCGTGGAGCTAATCGGATTAGGATAATCCTAAAGCTGAATGGGCCGACAAAGTCTTAGACAAAACTTTTGTATGAGGTGGGTCATGAGATTAGAGACAGGGAACATCTCGGTGGCTAGGAAAGAAATATTTGGAACGGTAAAATTGTATTCCATTATTTGATGCTAGGGCGAAACGCTATTTGTAATAGTAGCATTTTGGCTACCTACAATGTCATTGGCACTCAACAGGCTACATGTCATGCTACTGAGCTAAACCTGACCTGTCACAGGCTACCTGTCACAGGCTACCTGTCACAGGCTACCTGTCAGAGGCTACCTGTCACAGTCTACCTGTCACAAGCTACCTGTCACAGGCTACCTGTCACAGGCTACCTGTCACAGTCTACCTGTCACAAGCTACCTGTCACAGGCTACCTGTCACAGGCTACCTGTCACAGGCTACCTGTCACAGACTACCTTCCATGAGCCTGTCACTCAACAGGCTACCTGTCACAGGCTACCTGTCACAGGCTACCTGTCACAGACTACCTACCATGAGCCTGTCACTCAACAGGCTACCTGTCACAGGCTACCTGTCACAGGCTACCTGTCACAGGCTACCTGTCACAGTCTACCTGTCACAAGCTACCTGTCACAGGCTACCTGTCACAGGCTACCTGTCACAGGCTACCTGTCACAGGCTACCTGTCACAGGCTACCTGTCACAGACTACCTGTCACAGGCTACCTGTCACAGGCTACCTGTCACACGACAAACCCTGCCCTCCCCACTGTTGCGTGTACTAAAATTCTATTTTTAGTTCAAGCTGAGAGCTTTGACAGGCAAGTGCTCACTACAGTAAAGTAGATCTAGTGGGCGGGGGTGGGTGTGTGTATGACGGAAGGGGGGGGGGGGTTCTGAATCCGCTATCACTGTAATAAGCTTGATGGCCATTTCATGTAGGCCAAACTGGAGGTTACAGTTATATATACTACATACATACATACATACAGAGTAAAGATACATACGTCGACACACGTCTGATACATACACACGTATGGTGGTAAAGTTTACATACGGCTACCAACAACTACTTATAAATAATTAATAAATAGATATACATATATACCTATTTATAAATACATAGTATGCATTAATATAAAATATAGATCTAGAAAAAAATACCCACATACATTCATACTTACGTATTCAAAGACATACACGCACAAATAATTATAAATAATTATAAATATATATATATATATATATATATATATATATATATATATATATATATATATATATATATACATTATGAATACATAAAGAGATGTATAGAGTGAAAGAAACAACGGCAGTCAGCTCGCGGGGTGAGCTAAGAATAAAGCCCAAGTTGATTGGTTACAACAATAGTCCGAGCAGCGCCGTCACTGTGCGAGGAACATGTTGAGAGTGATTTCCCCTGCCCGTGTCTGTGTTTGTGTGTGATGATGGTGTGGTGTGAGGATTGTCTTCTCACGTGCGGGGACCTGTGAGTGAGTTCTGAGATTACTGCCGACATACTCGCAGTGTCGTGACATAGTTTTTAGTGATTGGTGTCAATAATTAATTAGCCGTGCTTAAAATTGAAAGTGAATTAATTATGCCTTGTGATAGATCAAGTGTACTGACATTCGTTTTTGGGAGTTCTCTGTGTTAAGGATTGGTGAAGTAAAATAGTTTACACTTCAATGAATTAATCAATTTGTAGTAACTAAGTAATTATGACATGTCCTTCTGTGTGCCCCCTTTGCCTCGATGTATCTGTCTATCTGTCTGTCTATCTATCTATCTGTCACTGTCTGCTGTCAAACATCCTATCTGTAAGTTTCTCCGTGTCAGTAACAAAGCTCCAATGTCCACACAACTACTTACATCACAATTTAACAAAGCAACAACACATGGCACATTCAATGGGCTACATACATTGCTACTCTGTCTCTCTACACTTGTAAGCAACACGACAGATTCTTTGGGTTACATACATTACGGCTATGTCTGTCTACACTTGATGGTATTTGCCTAAATTAATTAGCCGGTTAATTATATCTTAACTAGTTGTCTAATTGACATAAATATAAAAGTCAGCTGCATTAACGTGATGTAAGCTAATTAAAACAATAAAACTTAATTAATTTCACGATGGCTTCTAATTAAACAGCTTCGATTTATAAACGTGATTAAAAGTTTTGACCAGATCTGATTGTGACATCAGTATACTGACATATGACATCAATATAATGACACATGACATCAATGTAATGACATGTGACATCTATACAATGACATGTGACATCAATGTACCGACATATGACATCTATGTACTGACATGTGACATTAATGTACCAACAAGTGACATCTATGTAATGACATGTGACACAGAGGCGTAGCGACCCCTCCCGGCGCCCGGGGACAAACTTTCGATTTGCGCCCCCCCCCTCGAACTTTTCATTTGCACTCCCCCCTCAAACTTTCAATTTGGCGCCCCCCTAAGGTCGGCGCCCGGGGACATATGTCCCCCCGCCCCCCCCCTCGCTACGCCTCTGATGTGACATATATGTAATGACATGTGGCATCTACGTAATGACCTGTGACATCAATGTACCAACATGTGACATCTATGCAATGGCATATGACATCTATGTACTGACATATGACATGTATGTACCGACATGTGACCTCTATGTACTGACAACATCTAGACGTCACTGTGACATCACGTGTCCTCATTAGTCCCAGGTACAACATCCATGTTGATCTATTGGCCAGACCTGAGCCCGCTGTTGTTAAACTAATAGTGGCGGCTAGAGTTAAATATTCGCGTTTTGTCTGGCATAAACAAAATACCTGGCCAAACTATGGTGGGGGGTTGTGTGGATGGTTGTTTGGGGGCTTAAAGAGTGGGTTGTGTGGATGGTTGTGGATTATGAGGTGGGGTTGTGTGGATGGTTGTGGATTATGAGGTGGGGTTGTGTGGATGGTTGTGGGATTATGAGGTGGGGTTGTGTGGATGGTTGTGGGATTATGAGGTGGGGTTGTGTGGATGGTTGTGGGATTATGAGGTGGGTTTGTGTGGATGGTTGTGGATTATGAGGTGGGGTTGTGTGGATGGTTGTGGATTATGAGGTGGATTTGTGTGGATGGTTGTGGGATTATGAGGTGGATTTGTGTGGATGGTTGTGGGATTATGAGGTGGATTTGTGTGGATGGTTGAGGGATTATGAGGTGGGTTTGTCAAGTCTCCAGTATTCAAATCCCCTGTATGTCAAGTCCCCTGTATGTCAAGTCCCCTGTATGTCAAGTCCCCTGTATGTCAAGTCCCCTGTATGTCAAGTCCTTATATGTCAAGTCCCTGTATGTCAAGTCCCTTGTATGTCAAGTCCCTGTATGTCAAGTCCCTGTATGTCAAGTCCTTATATGTCAAGTCCCCTGTATGTCAAGTCCCCTGTATGTCAAGTCCCTGTATGTCAAGTCCTTATATGTCAAGTCCCCTATATGTCAAGTCCCCTATATGTCAAGTCCCTGTATGTCAAGTCCCCTGTATGTCAAGTCCCCTGTATGTCAAGTCCTTATATGTCAAGTCCCTGTATGTCAAGTCCCTTGTATGTCAAGTCCCTGTATGTCAAGTCCCTGTATGTCAAGTCCTTATATGTCAAGTCCCCTATATGTCAAGTCCCTGTATGTCAAGTCCTTATATGTCAAGTCCCCTGTATGTCAAGTCCCCTATATGTCAAGTCCCTGTATGTCAAGTCCCCTGTATGTCAAGTCCCTGTATGTCAAGTCTTGTATCATGGCCACCGTCCTATCTCTAACAACCAGAGCACCATTGATCAGATGTATCTCTAACACTTCCGGACTGTGCTTGTTGGATGCAGGTTGTTTGATGTAGGATGTTGGATGTAGAATGCAGGATGCTGGATGCATTATCTAGAATCTACACCATCACACGACCTAAGTGGCGTTTCGCTTGAACTTTGACCTCCGATTAGTAGGGTCCATCGCTTGTTATGTAACTGATCTTTTCCCTGTGAAATTTGCTGTACATAGTTGTCTAAAATACCACGTGACTTGTTGGGCTACATTACCCCCCTCCTACCATCAACCATTACTTGCCTGGGTACAGTAACCCCCCCCCCCCCCCCCCCCCCCACAGCATCGCGGCGAGTAACCAGGTTTTAAACTCGTTGAATTCGTTTCATAGAGGCGCGGCTGTGTGTGTGGGAAGTGGGGGGGGGGGGGGGGGTTGGGTGGTGGGGTGGGAGGTAGGTTTGAGATGTTGGGAGGTAGTCTGTAAGATCTGTAAGTGTAAGCTTGAAACAGATGATCCTCCGCTTTTTTTTACATGGAGGCAATGTAAATTACATGGGTTTTTACAATCATACAACCATACAATCCCACATTCTACTGTATACAATCTTACGACCAGAGTTACCACTGTATGACGTCACGAGATGAGTAAATGAGTGGAAGGGGGGGGGGGGGGGTTGTCAGACCTTTTTCAAAGTTATATGATGACAGTGGATTAGGGTGGGGGGGGGGTGAGGTTGCACAGTGTGTAGGTCTTCTAACTTGAAGTACATCATGTTCATTGTCTCTAGAGTTCATACCATAGTTTTATATCATGTGGAGGGGTGGGGAGGAGGCGTGTGCTAAAAAAACATGACGTTATTGCGAGACCCCCACCCCCTAAAAGCTGATTACCAGACGCAATATTTCAAACAAGACTAGTGTACACAATGTTACAAGCATGATTTTTGTACACTTCAAACAAGACTAGTGTACACAATCTTACAAGCATGATTTTCGTACACTTCAAACAAGACTAGTGTACACAATCTTACAAGCATGATTTTCGTACACTTCAAACAAGACTAGTGTACACAATGTTACAAGCATGATTTTCGTACACTTCAAACAAGACTAGTGTACACAATCTTACAAGCAGGATTTTCGTACACTTCAAACAAGACTAGTGTACACAATCTTACAAGCATGATTTTCCTACACATCTGGTAAACATGATTGTCATAACCACAATCCACCAATCACAATCATTGTTCACATCTGTTCTAGTGTTTGCTTTAACTTACTTACATGATATAAGATGTCATTCAGTGGTTGGAATCGTACCTACACTTCAGTGTTTGGTATCGATACTAGTTCTATCAATTGTAAATTGTACCTATACTTCATTGGTTGGTATCGATACTAGTTCTATCAATGGTAAATCTATACTTCAGTGTTTGGTATCGATACCATCATTGTGAGATGCTCTGTTTGAAATGTGACAGGATGTTTAGCCGAGGCTGTAAACGGTTGAACAGTTAAACAGCTGGTTTGGAGGTCGTTAAAGCGTGGTGATTAGACGGGTGCTGGGGGGGGGGGGGGGGGTCATGGTTGGGGGACAGGTGATGTGTGTGTGAAATCTTGGGGGGGGGGTCATGAGTTTATAATTACCCATGTAACGTTTATAACATGGCCTACCCGTCCTCCGTATGTTCTTGTAACCTGCACGTCGCCCAGAATTCAGTTAAAAACAACAGCGCTAAGTCTCAAATTGTGTTGAACTCTGGGTATAACGTGTGCATGATCCTTCAATGCCATGGGGCATGTTGAGATGACAGAAAAAAACCCAACTAAACCCCTTTACAGCAGTACATTGTTTTTACAAGCTCTTTTAACAGTGTTAGAATGTCTGTATGTCTGTCTGTTTAACGCAAATATTTTTACTCGTCGCCTATGTAGTGTCAACTTCATTTTAAAACGAATGCATAAAAACTAGAAAATAAAACAAATATAAAAACCTTTATAATAACACACTTTAAAATCCACTGAAAATAAGTAAACAAACTCTACCACTCTAAATAAAACTTTGCGGAAGTCGCTCATAAGATCTCTTGCATATTTCAAAAGCTTTTTGTTAAAGAAAGAGAGTTTGTTTTATTTTCGGTGCACTTAAAGGCTTGTTAGTATAAAGCAGGGGTCTCCAAGCTTTTCAGTCCGAGGGCCGCATTTACTATCAAATTTCAGTTCGGGGGCCAGTTTCTTCCAGGTATGTCTTTGATTTTTCTGGGCAAAGTTCCTCAGCCATCACCAACAAACGTTTTTTCCGTGGACAAAAAGATCGCCGCGGGCCGGATAAGAGGACATCGCGGGCCGCATCCGGCCCGCGGGCCGTAGTTTGGAGACCCCTGGTATAAAGGTATTTATATTTGTTTTTTTTAAACCACGTCTACACTATAAAAGTTAAAAAAAAAGCAAGAATAAAAACCTTTATATATACAAGCTTTTAATAGGTACACAAATCAGAAAAACGACATAAATGTTTCAAACTCGTTCTGTTAGTGTTGTACGAGTAACTCTGTACCTAGCCTTTGGTTAAATTTGATCTATTTAAACATTATAAAACACAATATAAAACCCATTATAAAGCACATTATAAAACACATTATAAAACAAATTTTAAATCACATTTAGTCCTTTTTTAATGTATTTCACCATTGTGACCTCGGTTGTTTGAGTTAAGTTTTAACTCGAGGCCAAACATTGAAAGCGGATTCTATAAGAGTTTGGTGAAAGGCTACAGTTACAAGTGGGAGACGGGCTAAATAACATTTATACAAGGACACTTAGGGCTAATATATCCCGTGAACAGAGGGGAAATGGGCTAT